TCCCTTTCTCTCTCTGTCTCTTTCTCTCTCTCTCTCCCTTTCTCTCTCTCTCTCTCTCCCCGCTCTCTCTCTCTCCCTCTCTTTCTCTCTCCCTATTTCTCTCTCTCCCTTTCTCTCTCTGTCTCTTTCTCTCTCTCTCTCCCTTTCTCTCTCTCTCTCTCTCCCCGCTCTCTCTCTCTCCCTCACTTTCTCTCTTTCTCTCTCTCCCTCTCTCTCTCACGCACACACACACAGAAGGCCTGCTAGTAAATACAACCCAAAATCCACCAACACCGACGGTTATACTTTTAACACTTCCCCGTCTTTGTGGGTCCGTTTGTGGACCACTAAGTGCGCGCTGCAGGTAAAACACCTGCCACAAACCAGACAGGAGTAGGGTTTCTCCCCCGTGTGGATTCTCTGGTGCTGCATGAGGTGTGAGCTCTGGCTGAAGCTTTTCCCACAAGTGCCGCATTTGTAGGGCTTCTCCCCCGTGTGGGTCCGCTCGTGCTTCACCACATCCGAACTGGTGGTGAAGCTTTTCCCGCACAGGGAACATTTGTAGGGTTTCTCCCCGGTGTGGATCCTTTTGTGCTTCACGAGATCTGAGCTGGAGCGAAAGCTTTTCCCGCAGGCCGGGCATTTGCAAGGTTTCTCGCCCGTGTGCGTCCTCTCGTGCTGCGTGAGGATCATGCTCTGGCTGAAGCACTTCCCGCAGTACGAGCACTTGTAAGGTCTCTCCCCCGTGTGGCTCCGCTGGTGTTTCACAAGGCCCGAATTGGAAGCGAAGCTCTCCCCGCAGGTGAGGCAGGTGTACGGCTTCTCGCCCGTGTGGGTCCTCTCGTGCTGGATCAGGTACGAGCTCCGCTTGAAGCTCTTCTCGCAGAGGGAGCAGTTGTACGGCTTCTCTTCCGTGTGGGTCTTTTTGTGGTTGACAAAGTTGGAGCTGGTTGTGAAACGCTTCCCGCACACGGGACACTGATAGGGCCGTTCCCCCGTGTGGGTCCTCTGATGGGTCATGAGGTGGGCGTTGGAGCAGAAGCTCTTCCCGCAGAGGAAGCACTTGTACGGCTTCTCCGCCGTGTGGAAGCGTTGGTGGACGATCAGGTAGGAGCGCTGGTTGAAGCGCTTCTCGCACACGGTGCACTTGTACGGCTTCTCTCCCGTGTGGATCCTCTCGTGTTTCACGAGATCCGAGCTCTGGTGGAAGCTCCTCCCGCAGTCCGCGCACTTGTAGGGCTTCTCCCCCGAGTGGTTTCGCTTTTGATGGCTGATCAGGCTGGAGATGCTGCAGAAACTCTTCCCGCAATCCGAGCATATATAAGATGTTCCTTCGACGGATTGGCCGTCTTCCAGCACAGGGATCATGCTTGACAGACCCACCGCTCTGTGCTGGATCTCACAGATCCCTTCCACTTTGTGGAAACCCGAAATGTCGGGGTCTGTTTCCAGGAAGGAAACACACGGTTCCAGGAATCCAGGAGTCGTCATGCCAACGGTTTCCTTGTGGCCGTCCATCGGTCCGCCAGCCGCTCGCTTCGTTAAAAAGAGAACAAAGAAAGATGAGTTAGGTGACTTTCTATTAAAGAGTTTTAATAGATTTTACTAATGTTTCCCCTTCCCCTTCCCTCCCTCCGCCCCAACCCTGCCCCCCCTCCAACCCTCCCTCCCCCCAACCTCCCAGAGCAAAATACAGGGTATAAACATTTAANAGATGCTTGGCACCACTGACTCACATTTATGACGGTTGCAGTGTCCCGGGGGTCACGTGATCCCCTTTTGCCACCTTCTGACCAGCGAAGCCCATCGGGAAGCCAGATTCACATAACAACGGGGTTACTAACTTATCAACGGCAGAGATTCACTTAACAACTGAGGCAAGAAAGGTCACCAAATCAAACTCACTTCACAAATGTCTCACTGAACCACGGGAATTTTGGGCTCCATTGTGGTCGTAAGTTGAGGAGTACCTGTCTTTGTGAAAAAGAGGCAGGGCTTCTATTCTAGAAGGTTCTAGCTGCCATCTTGGCTTTTTTTGACCTCTCCTTGCAGAACCTGCTGAGGACAACTCGAATTTCGGGGGTGAATTTCCAACTCAGCCCAGGCCAAAGTTTGAGGTCCTTGTCAAAAAAAAAGAAGGTTGAAAGAAAACACACAACCAACAGCCATCTATTTATTACAAAGGAACCACACATAATAATTCATGAAAATCACAATATACTGGGTTTGGCGAGGGTAATCCGGTTCAATTCATCTCGGGTTTACCGCCAATTTTGCCAAGCGAGTTCCAGTCTGGATTGGAGTGGGGGAAATTATGGCTTCTCTCCTAACTTGATTTTCTCCCCCCCCCACTCATGCATAATAAAAAACAGATCCGTTTCTAAGGTTACTTTTTCCTACCTTCCTCTATTCTGGATTCTAGTTAGGTTTAGAGATATCTGGCTTCGTGGCAGCAGGCAAAACTTGGAATTAGTTTTGTCTCCGGGTACCGTGTCTCCCCGAAAATAAGACAGGGTCTTATTCTCTTTTGACAACCCCCCCTCCCGAAATAAGCGCTTGGCCTTATTTTCAGGGGAGGTCTTATTAATTTTGAGGTGCAGAAGGCGGCGAGCGTGATCACCTCATGGCTGCTGCTGTGTTGAGATATTTGGGGGGTAGGGCTTATTTTAGTGCATGCGCTCAAAAGCCAGATTGGGTTTATTATCCGGGGAGGGATTATTTTCGGGGAAATAGGGTAGCATCTTGGCCTCTCTCTCTCTCTCTCCATTTCTCTTTCTCTCTTTCTCTCCCTTTCTCTTTCATTCTCTCTCTCTTTCTCTCTCTCCCTCTTTCTCTCCCTTTCTCTTTCATTCTCTCTTTTTCTCTCCCTTTCTCTCTCCCTTTCTCTCTCTCTCCCCCTTTCTCTCTTTTTCTGTCTCTCTCTCTCCCCCCTCTCTTTCTCTCTCCCTCTTTCTCTCTCCCTTTCTTTCTCTCTCTCCCCCCTCTCTTTCTCTCTCCCTCTCTTTCTCTCTCCCTATTTCTCTCTCTCCCTTTCTCTCTCTGTCTCTTTCTCTCTCTCTCTCCCTTTCTCTCTCTCTCCCCCTTTCTCTCTTTTTCTGTCTCTCTCTCTCCCCCCTCTCTTTCTCTCTCCCTCTTTCTCTCTCCCTTTCTTTCTCTCTCTCCCCCCTCTCTTTCTCTCTCCCTCTCTTTCTCTCTCCCTATT